TCCTCTTTTTTAGCTAAACTTTTTGACCTTTTCTTCCTAAAGTGCCTAAATAGAGTAATACTATTTTGAAGATTACCTTACATTGATACAGGGGCTATCCAAATATTGGCTTATGATGTTTTCCTTCTGTTATTTTGGGGAATAAAACCTTGACCTTCCTGAAAGCACTGATTATGAATTTCCTCAGCTACATAAATCAAGACTAACACAACTGAAGCCAACATGACAGGAAAATCAGTCTTCTGGACTTGACCATCACTTTGAAACACAGAAGGTCAGGCCTGTAGCAATGGTGACCTACCTAAGCTTGACAATCTGACCCAGCACAACAGAAAATACTTGTTATGTACTGTGTGCTAACCCATAAACAGCAGCCTAACTTGAAAAAAAGTTGATATTTTTCAATCCCAGCTTGCATTCCTTTAAAGAACTCCTCAAAATGGGACCACACGAAGAAGCCCCTCACTAGGACAAGGAAAGCACAGGGCTGAGAGCAGACCCCACACAGGACACCACAGTCCCCATAAATGATACTTTTAGAGATACTTGGGGGCTGATTTTGCCAGATGTTTGTTGGCACCAGCCCATAACCAAACTGGACAGAAACAGTTCCCAAATAAGAATCTGTGTGTGGGTATGAGAAGGTGCAATCACTCTGAATCTCCCCCTGTGCACGTGTGTCTTTACCTCTCTTCTCTGCTTCCCCTCAGCTCTTCACTCAGAGTTACCAGTTGTAAAAGCTTCTTTTTGACAAATCTGATGTGGATATTCACCTGACTGACTCGCAGCCTGCTCCCAGCCCTTACTTTCAACATGGAAATACAGCACCACTTTCAACCAGTCACAAGCCCGTGAGGAATAAACCGTCCTGTTAAAAATACTACTGTACCTTTTAGGTATGCAGATTGCCAGGCTGAATTTTAAATGCAATCACTTTGCTCCCAGTACACTCTGAAAATCAGGAGTCCCAGTCAGCAGGAATCAGTCCTCTGCACCCAGGCCCTGCTATTTCCATCAGTTTAAACCTCTGTGCTGCAATTATGTGAATTGTCCACTTTTCCCCTCCAGCCTCCTCCATGAAATGCATATGTAACATAGAACCCATTTATCACACTGGAAATTGCTATTGTATTTAATCTCCCCAAAGAGAGCAAAATCAAATTATGATGTGTAACGAATGATAATCTGTCAAACTCAAGGGAATACTCCCAATTTATCCCTCCGTGTCTGAAACAGAACAGGTCAAAGGGGTCTAACACAGAATACATGGGTGTGAAGACATGATATGAACACACACAAAGAGGAGATGAAAACACTCTTAATCTTTGCAGATTGAATGAAATCTAATTACATGTTGTATTGATTGTTGTGTATTACTGGAAAGAGACAGTGAAAAGGAAAAAAGGCAATTAGAGTGAAATTGTAGCCTGACCCTTCAATTGCTTTTGGCATGAAAGGTTATGCTCTACTTGGGGCATCAAAAATTCTTTACCTTCTATGGTAAATCATTAGCAACAGACTTAGTTGCAAAAGGGATTAGGGGAAAAATGCAGTCCATGAAATCTTTTTCAATTTTTCCCCTTTACAAAAAAAAAAAAAAAAAAAAAAAACAAAAAAAAACAAAAAAACCCACCAAAACAAACAAAAAAACCCAAAAACAAAACAAAACAAAAAAACCACAAACAAACAAACAAAAAAAAAAAAGGCAAAGGAAGATAATATCAAGGTGTTATCGTTATGCTATTTCATGAATTGCCACTAAGTCTAGCTGGCATTAGTTCTGTGCAGAATGACAATAAAACATATTCATCAATAGGAATACCATAGTAAAAATGAAAAATAATACATATATAGATGAAGTAGATCTATAATAACTCAGTTTTTCAAAATAAATGTTGTACCCAAGGTCAAACGTCAAGAGGTAATATTGAGTCTCACCGGGGAAATTCCACAGACACGTTTCATTGCTTTCCTTTCCCTTTTCATGCTCCATTCATTTACTTCCACCACAACCAGTAGCAGCTGAGCAAAAAGAAAGCTTTTTCAGAAATACTATTTTTCTGAGTTGATAAAAAACCAGAGCACGAGCCAAAAGAAAACTATTGTTTGGGTGTATGTCTGCACAACTCTGCAGGGAATCGTGGCAATTCTCATTCATCCTCTTCGAAAAACTCTTGTTCTGCCAAACATAATTGCAAGGACCAGCTTTCTCCTGACTTTCATGTGGGGATCCTCTGCGTTCTACACACACCTCCACAGGCACTGCACTCACTGGTTTTACTCAGGCTGAGGAGTTAATGAGTTCTCAAGTGATTGGTTTGTGTTGCCTTTTTATACGTTTGTAACGTTACAGCTCGTGATTATTTTGCTTGCAGAAGGTAAACTTCTAAACAACATTTCTCTGACTGTATGCAAACAAATCTGTGTGACAAACAAAACTCTGTGCAGCTGCAGCTGCAGGGCTGGTCTCTCACAGAGTGACTTTCTATTCACTGGTAAGGTGGAGACCAGCTAAGGTCTGACCAGTTTAGGACTCATCTGAAGAGAAAAATGAAATAAAAGAACACTGAGATGTTATTACCAAAAGGACACTTATTAAGTGGCTCTAAAGTTGCTGATTTCAAAACAGAAAGGAACAAGAGCAGAAAACTGAAATGCTGATCTGGACTGACCTACCATAACAATAACACTGAGCTGGACTCAACCTCCTGGTGCTTTCAGGGATTCTGGGTATGCAAGGAATTCACATTCTACTCATGTCTGTCTCTCCCTATAAAAGGGACTTCAGCCCATCTCATGAAACAGCAACATCCAAGACAACTTCAGATGTCCCTCCAGCCTTGTGATGGAGCAGGACACAGGGCAGTGTCTGAGAACCCTCGCTCGACACTGGGGTGACAGCGCAGAGCTCCAGAACAGGCAGAGTTTCTGTAGCACCAGCCTGTCTGCATAGCCCTATCACAGACAGGCCCCCTGGAATCTGAACGCTGCCTGAGCAGCACTAACCCAGCAATGGCACAAGGAATGAGTCATGAGATTAAGAAGAGAATACCAGTGAGCTAAACCCAAACACAGATGCTTGATCCTGATGTTTCACTTACAGTGAAGCAGCTCTGATGATTTCAGTGCAGCACTTCCTAATTTTTTAGGACTTTTTGGTATGATTATGAAGTAACTAATCTATGTTAATGTACCACTGTGTCATAATAAAAAACCCCAACAACCGTGTCAGAGAGGAAGGGAAGGGAAATGAATAGGAAATCTGAACAACTTGGCTTCAAAAACTTTCTGTATTTTCCCGTGTAAGAACTTCCAGGAAGAAAAAACTGCCTGTAGTGTTTATTATGACCTGAAGAAGCAACATAACACTAGTTCAAGTGATTTCACTATGAACTTCCATATCCAACAAACCAAATTAAAGAAGACAAAGAAAAAAAGTTCCCAAAATAGTGGCACACTTTAGAGAGAACTTCCCGTTTGCTGTGAAGCCCCAGCTATCACATGCAATGGTGCCTGCCTGGTATGTTAAGGACTCCTGCTGATGCTCCAGGGATGCTGTGCTGAGATGAACCCCGCACAGGGAAATCCTACCCAAAGTCTCACCCACGAACAACACCAGGAACAAATCAATTTGAGGCAAAAAAGCCTCGTTCAGCCAAGTTACAATGAATTAGATCAAGAACCTTGTGGCTTTCTGGAATTTGTGAGAAGGATTTTCCTCTTAAATCCTACATTCTTCAAAACTGCTCCAAAACACGGTTAGGAAACACAGCTGTTGACACTTCCCTGTAATTCCTGAGTGTGTGTTTTTGTGACTAACACCCACACTCCACGTTCCCCTTCTCTTCCCTGTTTATACAGATGAGAGCGTAAAGGGATGCCTGTTCTCTAACACTTGCTGGCACAAACTGCATATTACCATAACAGCCTAACTTACTTAGATTTATACATTCATTCAGAAAGTAGTAATAGGAAACATACTTTATCCTAACCCTCCTATTTGTCTGCATTTTGAAACGACAGCAGCCTTTGTTAAATCAATGTTATGAGTAGGATTTCCACAAGCAGCCTAGAAGCACATTTGCTATACTTAAACATGTTTATATTGAAATTTTTATTTGGTGCTAGACACTAAATATTACATTTATTTCATCATTTTATGCAAAACTTCACTCCTTCAGCTTCTTCTTGTCCAAAAAACTCATGTATTTAATCACATACTTATTTCTGTGATGTCTCACACTTAGAACTTTACAAATCTATGCAAGTACAAATGTATTCATTACAAAGAATTAGCTTCTATATGACATGTTAGCTGTCCTCTAACAACTTTGATGGCTTAGCTCATTCTAGCTACCATGGAAGGGTTCTTTGCTTACCTACCAATATTTTTCAATGCTGGTGAATTAGAATGGCATGTCATAAAAAGAACTGGTGGATGCTTCTCCTGCTCATCAGTTACAATAACAAATGCAAATAGCAAAATCATTAAGGAAACATAGAGGTGCTATGTTTAAACAGACCATTAAAAGCACACAGCGTGAGAACTCAGCAGAATGTTTTAAAGTAGTTCTGCAACCGAGCATATGATTTTCAGCTACAGCCTAACAGCATATTTGCTCTTCAAACAACTTCCTATGCAGACTTAATATGCGCAGGTAAACTGTAAAACCTGGGAGGTTCCTAGAGGGGACTTCTCCCAGACCCGAAACTCATGAACTCTGCGGGTTCCCTTAACTTTGCATCTACTGAGGCAGTCCTGACTCCGGACCAAGAGCTGGGGGAGAGGCAGGGTGGTGGTGGGAGGCTCACCGAGCCCCTCTAGCAGAACCCTGCAGGCACCTCTTTCCCTGGTATTTCAGCGCTCCAGCGGCGCGGTCAGTGCCGGGTCCCCTCCCCACGGAGGGGGACACTGCGGGCGCTCCCCCCAGCCCGGGACACCCTCCCGGGGCACCGGGCACTGCGGGGCCGGCGCCGCGCCCCCTCCCAGCCCCCCGTACCATTGAGCTGGTTGTAGACCACCTCCTCCAGGTGGTCCAGGCGCTGCAGGATGGACTCCCTGTCGGCCAGGCTGCCAACCTTGGCGCCGCGGCTCCTGGCCCGGCGGTCCGCGCTCCGGACGATCTGCACCAGCTCCTGGGAGCGGTCCTGGATCCTGCAGTAGACGGAGAAGAGGATGATGCCCACGAAGACCAAGATGTTCACCGTCAACAAAGTTTTGATTTTCCGTGCCACCGCCATGGGAGCCGCCGGCGCGGTGGCCGGGGGCGCATCCAGGCGCGGCGCCCGGCGGCCCCCGAGGCCACCCGGCTTGGCGGGGGAGCGGAGCCGGGGGGAGCGGCAGGGGGAGCGGAGCGGAGCCGAGGGGAGCAGAGCGGAGCTGTCCTTCAGCACCGCCGCGCCGCTCCCCGCCCGGTGCCCGCCGTCGCCCCGCGGGGGCCGCGCCGCGGGCAGGGCGGCATGGAGAGAGGGAGCGGCGGGGGCCGAGCCCGCCCAGCCCAGCCCGCCGCGCTCGCTGCCGCCCCGAACGCCGAGCGCCGTGCGCAGTGACGTGCTCGGGGATCTCATCCACAGGCACACGGAGCGGAGGAGCCGCCGCCTCCCTGCCTCGCCTCGCCCGCGGCTCCCGCCCCGCGCCCCGGCCCCGCACGGCGGAGCGGGGGATGCGCCGCTCACCCCCCCACCAGGGAACACGACAAGGGACGCCTTCCCTGCGATGCTCAGAACGTTTCACCTTGTCCTGCCCGAGCGCCGCCAGGGGCAGCTTGGTGTCCTTGTCCCTGCTGCAGCCCCGCAGGTGAGGGGATGCCACGCCCGTCTCAGCGCTGGAAACGAGCGGAAAACAGTGCGAGGGAGAGCCGGTGACCCGCTCAGCTCCGGGGACTGCCCCGCAGCCAAAGGACAGCACCGGCTTGGGATCCTGCCTGGAGGTGGCATGGCTGGGGCCACGTCCACGTGCAAGAGAAGTCCTGCCAAGCACACACAGAAATACAGAATCACAGAATAGTTTGGGGTGGAAGGGACCTCTAAAGGCCCATCTAGTCCAACCACCCTGCAAGGAGCAGGGACATCTTCAACTAGATCAGGTTGCTCAGAGTCCTGCTCCAGCTGACCTCAAATATTTCCAGGGATGGGACATCTACCACCTCTCTGGGCAAGCTGGGCCAGTATTTTACCATCCTCATTGTAAAATTTTTCTTCTTTATATCTAGTTTAAATTGATCATCTCTTAGTATAAAACCATTAACTGTCTAAGCTTGATGCCAGTGGACATTAAATAACCCCTTTCAACATATTCTCCATTCGTGTTCCCAGCAATCCTCCTTTTATACAAAGAAACATACCCATCTCACCTCCTGGTTCTGGGAATTTTTCCCCTTTCATCCTTCCTTCTTGATTTCAGGAGCTGCCAACTCAAAATTCAGCAAAAGTTACAACAATCTCTGTGAATTCACTCTAACTTGGCAAGGCCAGCTCAGGGTTTCCTGAGGTATAAAATCTCCCACTGCTGGTCCTATTTCTGACCCTCCTGCTGTTCACCTTCTGCAAGGTCCCCGAGGGTGCAGTTTCTTTGAGAAGATGTATTTCTGTCTCAGGGAAAATCTCCCTTGTCTTTTGGGCATGACCAATGAAACCTGTGGTTGGAGAGATCCAGCAGTGTGGAACAAGCCTAGACTGCAGTTTCACCATCATCTAATCTTATCCCTGGAAAAAAGATGCCATGGGTTTTCTGCAGCATCATGTCTTGCAAACAGGTACAAGATTTAGTTATTTCCTACAGTACTGGATTCTTAAACACAAATAATGCCCAAATGCAGGGTCAGATCTTTCCCTAAAGCTGTAGTAAAACTCTCTAGTTTTACTTCTGCTCAGCAGAAGCAGCTCAGAACCTGTATTTTTCCAGTGCTTTATAAGAAGTATTTATAAGAATACTACTTATTTCAGTAGTATTCTTATTGCAAGTCTCTCCCAGCTTTAAGTTTTCCTAGCCAATAACAATTTGGTTTAAGAAAACATATTGAATTAATGCTCAAGTGCAGCTTATTAGGTGCCTCCACAGCATTTAATATATTATAGCAACACCTGCTGGTCTTGATATTGTTAAGAATCTGTTACATCCCTGTTTCCATTATAAACTCCAAGTTCACAAGCTGGCCACAAGAATTCAGTTTGGATTCTGACAGGAGCTTATACTTTGTCCCAAGAGTTATAAAACACCTTCAGCTCTCTCAGAGAGTTTACCAAGTTTTGATGAGGACTTTTTTTGCACCACTGCAGTTATAAATGGGCTCTCTCAGAGACATGATTTCATCCATGATTGGCTTAGCAGAAGGAAACAACCATTTGACCTAAGTAAATGTTTTTAAGTGGTCAGCTTAAAATAGTCTATGATGTGTACAGAAGAACATGAGAATATGCTTACACAGCTGAAACCTCACCTAACACCACTCAAATATTAGCTATTAGATCACTGTTCCTCCAGAGATCTCAAAGCAAGTTACAAAAGATAAACGAGAGCTGACTGAAGGACAGCAGTAGTGTTTTTAGGGAAAATGTCAAGATCAAAAAATGTATTTTCTTTTTTTCCTCAGAACAAAACAAAACAACCCCATTTGAAATATTTCCACACCAGCAGCACTGAGCTGAAGTCACTGTTTCCTGCCCAAAAGGGTCATGTTCCAATTTTTCTTCGCGCAGGAAGGTGTGTATTGCCAAAAGAAAGCTAGATCAAAATCAATATACACAACAGCTGGACTTCAGTGACAATGCTTTAGCTGAAACCAGATGAATCAGCTCCAGCCTACAAATGGGGACCATGGGAAGGCAGTGGTGGCTTGCTTCCCAATCAATGGAACAAGCCAGAGGCAATGTCAGGATCCCATTCCAAACCACAAATCCAGTTGTCTCTCTCTCACTATTACCCTCTCACTGATTTTCACTCCCACTCGTCTCCACAGGGCTCGTGTTTCCACTCACATCGTCCAGGGTGGACGAGGAAGATGCTGTAATGACACACCAAGATACTGTGCAGTCAAATGACAGTCTAGAGGTGATCACACTATTTACATGCCTCTGCTACCAACTGTGCTCAGCCCAAATCAACACCTGGATGGAGGACAGCTGGCTGAAGATGAAGGTGATGCCAAGCAGCCAGAGGCAAAGACTCTCAAAAACCAGTCAGCACTCTGAAATAGCCATCTGTCACAGGCATCTCCCCTAATGGAGCAAAGATGGTTCACTGCCTTGGGGCAAATCTGGGCTGCTGCTGGGCTGTCACATAGCTGAGGCTCTGGAAAAACAAACCTCACTCTTGTCTCTGGCTCTCCTTGAAGCTGTGCTTGGTCTTGATTTTGGTTACTGCAGAGTGCCCCACCTTGGCACGAAGATGTTGTCAGAGAGGAAAACTTCAGCTGCTTCTGCATTTAAAATCCTGTTCTGCTTTAGCTACTGAGGTCAGAGACAGTACGTTTCACTTAAAACAACACGGAACTAAAATATTTTGAAAAGAACCCTATGAAAGTGTCCGTCTCACAGCTGTTATCTGCAGAGCCCATCATGCAACTACTCAAGGCAAGGGACTCCAAGTCAATCTGAAGTTCATTTGGAGCTGTCAACCTCAACCAATACAGAGGGACTACCTGTGTTCTTTTTAGCCAGCTAGTGAAAACTGTAGATTGTCTGGCAACTGAACATGACCAAGACACCCATCATCATCACCTGGACAGTTCTCAAGTTCAAGTTTTCCCAAAAAGTGGTCAGAAGAATTTATTAAAGAAGACCATGTCAGACCTACAAAATGCCATCCCTACACAGAACCCCTGGAGGCCCCACGCCTTCTGCTGTACAGCCCCAGGTATGGTGGGTACATACCCAGATAATCAATATGAGTTTCAATTTTCTGTGAGCTGTTTTCTGTTGAATTTCATTTTAATGTCCCTAGGAGGAGATGAAGGAATTGGCTGATGAAACAAAATAAGTACGATTTTACTTCTGAGGAAAGGCAAGAAGAAAGTGATTGAAAAGTTTCTTGGAAGTTTTTTGAATTTTAAAATGCTTAGGATGGAAAAAAAATATTGAATTCAAATTAATAACCATAAAACCATTCCCAACCACTTTTCCAAGAGGACACAAGACTGATTTACCATATCTAAAGAGACATAGCTCTCTGATCATTCTACTGCATGATATGAGACATTTGCAAGAATGAATAATGTGTAGAAGGGAAGGCTTTGATGTTTAAAGTATTTGAACACTAGCTTGAAAGAAAGAAAAAGACACGGCAGACAAAATATTATGCCAGTGATGATCTGCAATTGCAGATTCCAGCTGTAGTTATTCACACACACTGACATCACCTACCTACATTTCATTTTCCTAATGAAATCCCAACTGCATTTGCTAGCACACTGCTTAGAGTCTTGATAGAGCCTAATATTTTTCTACTTTGTTTTCTATTTTTCTACTTGTTTAGAAGGAAACAGCAACAAAAGCAGGCAGTGAAGCCTCAGCTGTCTGGTGAATCCCCAGACACACAGAGCTGAGGCCCTCACCCTGCTGCAAGGAGGAACTGCAGCCCCTTCAACTCGTGCAATTCGGAATTTGAGCAGCCCCTTCTCACCACGGTGCCAGCAGACCCCGTGAGATGAGACCTGCACAGGGACAGGTTAGGAGAGAGAGAAAGGAGGAACCCAAACCCTGCTTTGCTGGGAGCAGAAGGACAACTCAACGCGCCGTGGCTCGCCCAGGATGGAGGTGTTTGCTTTAGTGGGGTGACCTCTGTGCCACCCTTACTACAAACATGCCACGAGCAGGGTCACAATCCCTGCGTGCAGACACTCCCATCCATCACGAGCAGACCTGCTCCAAGCAGTGGGCACGGCCCAGGGATTTGAGCATTCCCAGGATTAGCCTGAAGGTGCTGAATTTTCAATTCATCTTGAGGATGGTTCTAAATGAAATGAGACGCCTTGAAAATCTGAACACACGTTTCAGAAATAATATATATATTATATATATATCTATCCTTTTAATTTTGGCAGTATTAGTCACTTATTAAGATTAAACAGAAGTCTCATAAATGGAATTTTGTGATGCTTCCTTCTAATAGTGCAGCAATTCCCACTTGCACGTGGGAATTCATGCAAGTCCTTCAAAGGTACAGAGCACACTGTGTTCTGGCACCTGTGGTTGTGACACAAATATGCACTACTGATATACTCTTCCTGTTGTTTTAAAGCCACAGGTTGACCCTGAAGAGAGGATTTATTGCTGGCAGATCTGCTGCTTTTCACGCCTGTGAAACTGTGCTGATGACCACCCTGCAGTAAATAGCATACAGATAAAACTCAACAATTATCCAAACAGGCATTAAAAACCCCAATAAACCTGTCACTGTAAAAACAGAATAT